TAAAACGTCAGCTGCTGATCCTTTCAGGTGTTACTGTGACTACTGTAGTTTTAATACCTGCATAGTTTCACCCGCAACAGTTCCCCTGGTAAAGACGTAAAGCAGCTCCACTAGTATTCAAAGGGAGTTAAATGGAAGCATTTCTATTTCTGCTGTATGAATTTCTAACCCAAGGTTAACTTTACTGGGGGAATTTTTTTACCCTGGGGTGCGGGAGGGTGAAGAGGGTGATAGTTTAATTAAAGCCAGCAAGCTGAAAACTGTGTGCGCTATGTCTAACTATGTATAATCAAACCATTTAACAACGCTTCTTTCAACATTATTCAGCAATTGAAAGAGATGATACTAAGCTATTTTTCATTACTTTTCATGAAGCCTGAAATTTTTTGGAAGCAAAAAGGCATGCTTTCTATTAGGCAAACCCCACTTTTCTTTAAAAAAGATAAAAAATGTAAAAAAAAAAAATCAATACTACTCCCTCAAATAAACTACACAGACTGTCAAAAGTCAACTAGTTTTGAAACTGAGCCCTTTAATCTGGCTTAGAAAACTTTGAGCCTGTATCTTTCATTAGTATAAACAGGCAAATTTCCCTTGAAGTCAGTTATACTAGTCCCTGTCAGCTCTGAGAATCCCAGCTTTGTAATCACAGAAATGTTTAATTTTTCAAGGGGATAGGGGAGATGGAATAGCAAGTCCAGGCCATGGCCCTGTCTATGTATGACTGTGTTGTGCTGTTTTGCCACTGAATGTCCAGCTTCAAGACTGCAGATCTGTCAGTGACCAAACATGATGGACCACCCATCGGCCTTTTATTAAACAGTACTTGTTCCCCCTCTAATCCTATCACTAGAGTAATCAAAGCTGCCATGTCCCAGGGTTTGATGGAACAGCAGGACCTGGGAAATGAAGACTGATTTTGTTAACAAAGTCATTCCTGCCCCTTGAATGCTGTCTCATTGGTAGAAAGCAGGGAGACAAGGTTTATTTGTGCAGAGAATGAGGCGGCAGAGAAATGAAAGGGGAAGAATGGTGAAGTGTGAAGTTTAATCTGGCACGGTCTAAGGTTTCTTTCTTTGAGGCCGTCTCTGATCCAATCAACACCGGTTTGATATTTAACATCTCCCCCTGCAGTTGGAAATGATACAGGCCAGAGAAGACTAGAGTCAGGGCTTCGCAAGCCCCGACCAGCATAGGGAGAGAAAAGGGGGTGCTGGTGGCCCCCCTCCAGCCTGATGGCTTCCCCCACCGACAGGTCAGGATGGAGTCCGGCCCTGACACAAAATTCCCCTCATGAACCTTGGGATTAAGGGCATCTGGCGTGGGCTGAATGCAGATTCTCGCTGAAGAGAGCAAGCTCAAGATGGGATGGGAGAGGGATTTTATTTCTAACTTGGAGGAAGGGATATCAACACTGTCTCAGTCTGGGGATCCTGCTGAGAGACAGGATCAAACACGAGTGAGAGCTACCATCCACCTCCCCAGGGCAGAGCAGTTTGGGTAGAAAAGTAACACCTTCCCCTTGCTGACCACACAGGCTTTTAGTTGGGATGCGATGCTGCCCGTGAGCGCTCAGCCACCGCAGCCCTGGGCAATCAGGGTGGACACAGACGGACCTGAGCAGCTGTAGGAGTCACCATCTCCGTCCTCCTTACTCCAACGACAGTGTATGTCAGCCAGGGGAGAGCTTTTCACCACAGATATGTGTGAGGGTCACAAAGAGGATGGGAAAACTTAACCCTCTCCCAAGCTGGCCCTCACAGGACGCATGGTCAAGTCCTCATGGCCTGTCATGGCCCCCACTGCAGTGCTTCTGCTGGCATCCCAACAAGAGAAGCCCCTGAACGCCATCCGCCCCTCACCAGCTCTCCTCAGTCCTGGACCACTTGATTTTGCACTTTCTGGCCACTCTGTAAATAAGTATCTATGCTGTCAGACAGAAAAGTTGTCTGCTTCCTCCTCTTTGTGTGCCTCTCAGCTCTTTCTGTCCCACCTTCAGCAAAAACCCTGAAACTTCGTATACCAAGGAGCAGTGAAATTTCGATCTGACCCAAACCTGACTGGAGTTCCCCTGTAGCCAGGCTCCCAACCCAGCCTTTTGCTGCGATTCAGACACCTTGCCACCAACTATACAATAGCCGGGGCCCGGACTTTGTGTGACCAGCAGCTGCCGGAGCCCCAGGGGGAGTGAGGATGCTCCCTCCATGAGCCATGCAGGAAAGCAGCCGGTGAGCGGGAAAGGAGGGTGATCGGAGCAGTGCCCGTTTGGGAGAGCAGCACGAAACACTGAGCAGAGATTTCAGGGGGAGCAGAGCATCAAACTACAAAGTTTCTGAGTTTACAATAGAAAACAATGCACTGTGCTCTACCTGCAAGAGCTGGCTCTCCAGGAAGCAGCCAATTATATGAGCCACCTTAATCTTTTCATCCGGCTAAGACAATCAACATTTCAAAGCGACACACAGAACGTTTCAAAGATCGTTCCTGGTCAAAAATGCAAGTGTATCCACTTTCTTTCAGAGCAGATCAAAACCAAGTACCAAACCGGGACCACTCCTAGGTTTCCTCCTCCTCACGGTATCAGATTAATAGATTTGGTGCGTGTAGTCAGATTAAATATTTGCAGTAGCACAAAGCTGCCTTTGAGGGGAAGAAGTAAAAAAAAGCTTTTTTCTTTTTTAATTTGCTAAGGACAAAAATACTGGACTTTGGGGATGGGGGAAACAAAAGCATTGACATGATTCAGCAAGGCACAGTTCTAAAACCTGAATTCTGAATGCAGAAAGTACGTGCAGTATTCCTGTAACAGTAATGCTGAAAACAGGTAAAAACTGCCGATGCCCGTAGCAGATTTGGGACTGTAATTTATCACAGATGTTCTCATCAAACTGTGCAAACACCCTACAAGACAAAAGCTGCTCAACTTCTGATTTCCATTTTAGTGTGTTTTAATAAGTGTCGCTTAAGGAAGGTTCCAAGACCTGGAATTGGGAGGTGAAACCTAGCGATAGTAATCCACTCCACTAAATTAGCACAGTAATACACCAAGCAGTAGGACTGCCAGACGGTGTGATAACATTACAAATTACTATTGTTAAACAACTAGCCAGGTGTCAGGATGCATGAAATCTAGAGGAAGCAAGAAAATAAATATCTGGTTTGTTTTGTTTAATTTTGTCTCATGTTGTTCTGGTGGCCTTGTTCCCAGAAAAACCTTCCATCTAGGAAAAATCCTCCTGAACGCTGATCTATTTTAGCAGCAATGTCAATTCTCTGTAATAATTAAAATGTAATGTATTTTTTTAATCAGCACAAACTTTTTTCATAAATGATTGTCCTTTACTTGCCAATAGCAGTAACACCTTTGCTGTTCTTTTTTAGATTATTATTGTAGCAAAATGAAGGGGAAATTTTTGTTTCTATTTAAAATTTAGAGAATGAGAGAAAAACAGAATTATGGTAAGAGTAGCAGTGAGTTTTGTACTCGGTCCCTTTTCCTTTCTCTGTCGTGCACTCTCTCTCTCTCTAAAAAGAAAAAAACGTAATATGATTCACATTTAAAAGGCTTCCAAGTGGTACATTTTTAACCAAGTGCTTTCATGTGCTTGATTCTAACTGCCATTTTTGACCTAATACAACCAAATGCTATTGGATGTCGGGAATGGTTCATTATTTTTACCTCACCTTAAAGAAGGGGTTCAACAGAGAGGATAGGCACTTAAACCTTTCAAACACAACAGGGTAAAACGAATTCCTTGTTTTGTGTGTGCGTTAATTAACGCAAAGGTCCTGAGGGGCTTTCTTTTAATTATTTTTGTTGATAAACAAGAAAATCCCTCCAAAAGCGTATGCAACCAATCTTCTCCTTTGAAGGCTGTATGCAAAGTTAGACTTCTAGTTGAAATATTGGATGAACCAAATGTTAGTGAAAGCCAGACTTTTTCCCCTTAAAACAGTTCCCACTAGACTTCAGGGGAGAGGGAAGTGACGGCACTCTAAGGACATTTTAATCACACCAAAGATCAGTCCTTTAATCCTTATTCCCACATCACCAAGAATTTTTTTGCTCAAACTAGGACAGTAAGGTAAAGCTGGAAATAGGCTGATCCAAAACTAATGATGAAAAGCAGGTTAAAAACGAAATATCATAGCAGTAACTGACACCATCTTAAATTTCCCCTGGATTATTTGTTTTCTTCCACACACATTCATTTCCTGAATTTCTAGTAAATCTGATTTCATATAAACAGTTTCACAAAGCAAAGTCAATAGCTGTGACTGTGTTCCCGATTAATCCACTGAAATGAAATAGATCGCATGGCTTAGTATTTGGTTGTTTAAAGCTAAATCCACTGAAAGAATTCTGGAGTCCAGTTACACCAATAACTTTTGTTTCCTAATCTACATCCTTTTCTTTTTGCTGAACTTTACCTGTTCCAAAATGAAAAAAATCCATGCAGATTGCACATTTAATTTCCCCCAGTACATGAGGGCAACGTGAGCCAGTTTGTTTTGACCTGGAGTGACTACTAAAAAGACGACCAACGATTTGCATGTACTTAAATCTATTTGAACAATGTTGAAATTTCTTTTTTCATTGTTCATGCTTCATCCTCTTCCTGACAAGTACCACAGAGCTGCTTTACTTAAAACAAACAAACAGAAAAAAAGCACTTTTTACCCAGCTCTGGGACAGGATAGGAGGTGTGGAAGTTTCCCTCACAAGTGGCAAGCCAACGGACACACACATTCACACCCTGGACATTTGCCTCTCAAATAAATAATACACATGATAAACTCACTGCACACATTGCAGGATTTTGCAGGCAGCACGGATCGGCGCAATGGAAAACGGGCAGCCTGACGCAAAGGCTGTTGAGGCCCGCAAGTAACCCACCCCGCTGCAACAAGCTTGGGGTTCGCCCCCATAAACAGACCGAAATGCGAGGAGAACAGCCCCTACCTCTGGGATAAGCCACAAGGCCCAGGAGCCTCCTTACCTGGGAGAAGTTGAGCCCATTCAGCGGGTGACACTGCTCCTCCACCCTCTCCACTGCACCCGTCGTCTTCTTCATCCTCTCGGCCTCCTGGGCGAGGTAGAGATCGAGCACCGGCACCCCTCTGGAGCGGATGTCCGTCTCCGTCAAAGAGTTCACCATGAGCATCACCCAGACGGGCCTCTTGCGCTCCCAGTTGCCAGCGATGGCGTTGAAGAGGTAGTCAGCGTAGAGCCCTTTGCCCCGCTGGTCCGGGGTCATCCAGTGGGGCAGCATCAGCTTGATGTAGTCCAGGTGGCGTTTGAGGCGGCGGTACAGCTCCCGCGGCAGCACGTCCTGCAGGTTCTCCCCGTGGGGCAGCATCTGGCAGCTGGCCAGCCCTGAGATGGTGTAGGGGTCGGTGAGGTCCAGCTCAAAGTAGACGCTGGAACTGGCATGGAAGGCGGCCTTGGAGTTGTCAGGGATGAAGTCCCACACCCGTGTGTAGGGCACGTGGATGGTGCCAAAGAGATATGCGGGGGGGTTGCGGCGGATGGTCCAGAGGAAGGAGTTGAGCTCTCCTTGCTGGGGGGAGGACAGTGAGGGTCGGTCAGTGGCGGAGGGGCAGAGGGGCAGGAGGGAGCCCCCGGGGGGAAAGCCCACCTCGGGGGGGCCCTCTCCCCCAA